CATGGGGAGAAAAGGGAAGAAGGGGAGAAAGGGGAAGAAGGGGAGAAAGGGGAGAAGGAAGCGGAGAAATGGGATGGGGAAGGAGGAGAAGGGGAAGAAGATGAAGATGGGGATGGGAAGGGAAACAAGGGGAAGAATGAGAAGGGGGTAGGTAGGAAGGGGGCAGGGAGAGGGAGGAAGGAGTCAGGAAGGAAGAGGGGAGGGGAGGGGAAGGAAGGGGCCTCTCCTCGCCTCCCACCCGGCAGCATTTCCCGTCCCACTCCAGTCGCCCCTGCGGGGCTGGGCCTGATTTCCCACCCCCACTGCCAGCACTCCCTGTGGGACCAGGTTCAGTCTGCTCCCGGCACCCCCACAGCCCCCAGTGGGGACATTCCCACCATGCCAACTGCTCTGCATTACAAACCAGGTGGGAAAAGCCCGATTTTGGAAAGCAGGAGGGAAATCTGCCCCCCACTCCTGTGCTGACCAAATACGCCCCAATTTTCAAGCCTTTGCCCCCCAGGTTGAGCAGGGGAAGGGTCCCTGCACCCTCCCGGTCCTCCACATCGACGATGTGCCACCCAGCACCCGAGGGTGCTCAGCTTCCCTCCAGGTCATCCCTATCCCGTCATACCTGGGGGATGCTGCAGTGCCCCCCCTCCCTGGGCCGTGGGGATCCTCACGCCGACACCGCGGTGCCACTCGCCCGACCTTCGGCACAGCAGGAGGAGGAGGAGGAGAACCGCGTGTGCCACCGCCCTCCCACCTGGCAAGCACGGGCAAGTCGGCGGCAGGAGGGCCGGCGGGCAGCAGCCGGGAGACGAGTGGGAGCCGAGCCCTGCCCCATCTGGGAGCAGGGAAAACGCCGCCTCTGCCAAACCCGGAGCTGGTTTCACCACCATGACCCGTTCCCCACAGGGAAAAGCACCTTGTGGCAGGTGGGAGACGTGACCCCTCTGCATGAAATCCCTTTTCCCAAGCCAGAGGAAGGAGCGCAGGGTGGAAAACACCAGCTCGGCATCAGCAACTCTGCAGCGCGCTGGATCAAAAATAGCCCTTTTTCTACCCAAAAATTTCAAGCTCTCCCGCTATCCCGCTGCCTCCCTGGGGGCTGGAGCCGCTGAGTCAGCACCGGCACTGCTGAGTCACCGCAGCCACCTCAGCCCCAACGCCAACCGGCTCCACGATGAGCTCAGCGCGGGGGCTTTGGCATCGCCATGCTCGCCACCACTGCTGGGAGGCTTTTGCCAGCACCTCTGCCAATGTTTTGGGATCTCACCAGCCTCTCCCTGCTAAAATCTCACCCATCCCCAAAACCACAGCGATTGGCATCACCTTGAATCCAAGGAAACCCAACCGACAAAGGGTGAGGGAGCCAGGGAAGCCGGGGGCGTTTAAACTCTCCCACCTTCCCACCGGTGGCAGGGTCCTGTCTGAAAACACCTCATTCAGGACCACCCAGCACCCGTTTCCTCCCAGAAGAGGAACAGGAATGATGAAAGAAGATAAAAACAAAGTGTGATTGTGCCTTTTTCCCCCCTCGCTCGGGTCATCGGCACCGCGGGGAAAGCGCCGCCGCCTCCGGCTTCCCCGGCCCGGTGACAGGGCTGGTGACTCACGGCAAGGAGGGGGGGAAGCGGCGCGTGCACGGGGCCCTTGTGTTTGTAAACCTAAAAAAAGCCATGTGCGGGCAGGCAGCGTGGTCTGGAGGGCAGGGAGCCTGCCTGCAGGGCAGGGAATGTGCTCCGGAGGGCAGGAAGAGTGCTCTGGAGGGCAGGCAGTGTGCTCCAGAGAGAAGGCAGTGTGCTCCCAGTATGCTCCCAGTGTGCTCCAGAGTGCAGGCAGCATTTTCCAGAGGGCAGGCAGTGTGATCTCAGGTGTGCTCCAGAGGGCAGGCAGTGTTTTCCAGAGGGCAGGCAGCGTGCTACCAGTATGCTCCAGAGGACAGGCACTGTTCTCCCAGTCTGGTCCAGAGGGCAGGCAGTGTATTCCCAGTTTGCTTCAGTGCGATCCCAGTGTGCTTCCAGTGCAACCCAGACAAGCAGGCAGTGTGCTCCCAGTGTGCTCCATAGGACAAGCAGTGCGATCCCAGTGTGCTCCCAGTGTGCTCTGGAGGGCAGGCAGTGTGACGCCAGTGTGATGCCAGTGTGATCCCAGTGTGATCCAGAGGACAAGCAGCACGATCCCAGCGTGCTCCAGCACCAACCACCCCAAGGAGGAAGGCTCACGGAGGCATTCGAAGAAGCCGGCACTGCTACGAGAGCTGGTGCTGCGCTGGCGCTAATTAAGTGCCAGGGCTTTAATTGCAGTGGCGTTAACTGGCGCGGATTTAAGCAGGAGGGCTTTAACTGCAGCAGCTCCAACACAACGGCCTGAAGTGCAGAGGCTTTGACTGCAACACCACCGGGCTCTGAGAGGCTCAGGGTCTTCAGAGCCCCTCACCCTGCCACTCCTTATCCCCGTTCTGCACCCCAGCACCTCCTGCTGCAGCTCCCAGGACGCTGCTTCATCCTTTCCATGTTTTTCCAGGCTGGGAATCGGGGCTGTGATGAGCAGGGCAGTGCCACCAGCCCTGTGGTGACAACCCCTCCATCCATCACAGCCATCACACCCATCCCGGCCCCCGCGGTGACACCTGCAGCGATCACAACTCGCTCCGACCCATTTGGGTTTTTTACAGAATTTTCAGGGCTTGGGGTGGCTCAGAGGGTTTTTTTCCCCTCGTTTGGCTGCACTGGGAACTGCAGGCTCTGGAGCTCGTGGTCCCCAGCTCCCCCCTTCGACAGCAAAATCTCATTTAATCAAAAGATGCGGCGACTGGATGTGCAGAAGCACTTGGCTCTCTCGCTTTTTTTCCCCCTTCAGAACTGCCATTTTAGCTGTAGCAAACAAATGCATGGCATTGTCCCCACGACACGGCTCCCTCTGACAACCCTTCCTGCAAATCCCCGTTCAGCCGCTGCCGAGCTCCCAGGAAAAGGGGATTTTGGCCCTGGGACACAGGGACACAGGAGCAAATCGGCACTGGCAGTGGCGTGGTGGGCAGATGTAGAGTGGGGACGGGGCTGAGTGCAGCTGTTTCACCTCCAGCCTCTTCCCGTTTCATTTCATCTCCCCTTGGATGCTGGCCCAGGGAGCGGGGGGAGAAATAAAACCAGCTCTTTCATCCTCAAAAATAGTCTGGCACCCTCTTGCACAGAGCTCCAGGAACGGGATTAACGCGCTGGCACAGCAGGGGACAGGGGGTCTCGCAGTGGGGTTGGGTTTGGGGGGCATCCCGGCCTCATCCCAATCCAGTGGGGACAGCCAGGGGATGGGCACGGTGTGTTCCAGCGTTGTCATCCTATTGGGAAGGCTCTCTGCCTCCCTGGAGTGAGGGACACGGAGGGAGCAGGGAAGGGGGACCCCACTGCCATCAGAATGGGGGCAGGGAAAGCTGGCACATGGAGACAGGGGACCGAGGACCCAATGTCCAGGGACAAGGAAAAGGGACCCTGCACATGCAAGGAGGAGACTGGAAACCCCAGTGGCATGAGAATGGGGACTAGAAGTCTTGCACGTGCGTGGAGGGGCCTGGGGACCCCAATGGCATGGGATTGCGGACCCCAGTGGAATGGGAACTGGGACAAGGGACCCTGCACATGCATGGAGGGGACTGGCAATCCCATGGGAATGGGGAGAGGGGACCCTGCACATGCAGGCAGAGGATTTGGGACTCCTGAACATGTAGGAAAGATACTGGAGATTCCGATGGCATAGAAATGGGGACAAGGGACCTCTGAAGATGCGGGGAGGGAACAGGGACAGTGAGGCTGCAGAAACAAGGAGCAGGGACCCCAGTGGGGTACAAGGGACACGGCTGCCATGGGGATGGGGACACTGGGACAAGCAGGGGACCAAGGACCCTGGTGCAGTGGGGATGGGGACCAGGAAACTCTGGCACATGGGAACGCCAATGCCATGGGAACAGGGACACACACAGGGCACACACAGGGACCGAGGGCCCCGATGCCACATGGATAGGCACCACACACAGGGAGGGACCCTGATGGCAAGGGAATGGGGACTGGGAACCCTGGCACATGCAGGAAGGAGTCCAAATATCCTAATGGCATGGGGACAGGGACTAGGGACCCCAACATATGCACAGTGCCATAGGGATAAGGACTGGGCACCCTGGCACACGTGGGCTGGGGACCCTGATGCCATGGGGACAGGGGCTGCGGACCCCAGCACATGCAGGGAGGGGACTGGGGACGCTGGAGCCATGGGGACAAGGATTAGGGACTTCAGCACATGCAGAAAAGGGATTGAGGACCCTGATGTCATGGGAACACGGACTGGGGACTTCAGCACATGCAGACAGGAGACCGGGACCCCCAGTGACACGGGGACAAGGATTAGGGACCTCAGCACATGCAGACAGGGGACCAGGGACAGCTCACTCCCAGCGTGCCAGCAGTGCCAGGGACACCCCAGGAAAGGCTTTTTGGGACGCAGACCCATAGAACAACTACACATCCCAGAGCCACCACGCCACCGCTTCACCATCCCCGCTCCCAGTGGGGCCAGTAAAACCTCACCACGAAAGGCCAAAATCTTGGGGGGCCACACATTTTGCCTTCTCCCAGACCCCACTGCCTCCTCCTCAGAGCCACCTCCCCCCGGATTACCTGCGACGAAGAGTCCATGTCGGCAATCTCGAAAAACAAACCTCGTCAGGGCTAACAAGGTGCCAAAGGCCACGAGCAGGGCTCGTTTATGGGCCCCCATAACAACCTGACCCCAGAGGACTCTGCTCCCGGCCCTTCCCAGCATGATGCAACCTCGGCGACGCTCAGCACACCCCAGCACCCACCAACCACCAACCACCCCGGCACCTGCCGTGGGGCTCTAGGGTTTCTCTCTTTTTCCCAAAGCACCGGAGGCAGCTCCAGCGTTGGCGGGCGCAACGCGGGTGCGAGAGATGTTCGGCATCCCCGGATCCCCACGGAACACGTGGTGCCGGGGCCGGTCCTCACCGCCGACTCCAAACTTCGGCCACGCGTTTTGACAACGCTTGACCTCGGTGATGGTCCCTCCAGCGGTGGTGGTGTCCCTGTCTGCCACCAAACCACCGCTCGTGGCACCGGGACGAGCCAAGGTGCAGGCTCGGCGGGTGAATGAGACCCTGCCGAGGAGGACGAGCCGGTTTTGCTGCCCACCTCCATCCCGGCGTGACGGAAAGCGGGGGGTGCCCGCGCCGGACCCCGAGTCCTCGTCACGGCGAGGGATGTGACAGCTGCCACCAGCACGGTGACGTCAGGGTGACGTCACGCAGCGGGGAGCCTCATCGCCCTTGTTTCGCATCATCACCTCTGAGCTCAGCACATTTCGGCGATGGGCGGCATCGGTTAATAAATAACAATAATTAATACAGGCCACAAGCATGTGGGGTAATGCAAATGGGAAGGGGGGGCACCTTAGGGCTTGTCCCCCTCCCGTCTCCATCCGTCCCCCCCCCTCCCACGAAGCGATGCTGCAGGGGAAGGAAAAGGGATAAAAGAAGGAAAACAGCCCCAAAGGGGGGGTAGGGCCGTGAGTGTCCCCCGGCCCCGCCGCTTTGTCCTCGCGGCCCCGCGGGGCCGCCAGCACCGGTGGGGGGGGTGGGGGTGGGCTTTAACCTCACCCGCACCGCCCCGCATGCCCCGAGAGGGGGTATTTTTGTTTGAGGGGGTGTTTTGGGGGTGCAGAGAGGGGTGTTTTTTTGGAGGGGAAGGGGTGCTCTTACCTCGCCGCGGCCCCCGCGCTGCCCCCGCAGCCCCCGCCGGCCCCGCTCGGCGCCGGCCCTCAGGAGGAAGCCATCTTGTCTCCCTCTCCGCCGCGCTCCCTCACCGCCGCCCCGCCGCAGCCGGGGGGGGGAATGGGCGCCGCATCCCTGCTCTCCCCCTCTCCTCCTCCTCCTCCTCCTCCTTCCTCCCCCTCCTCCTCTTCGCTCCTTCCTCCTCCTCCTTCTTCCTCCTCCTCCTCCTCCTCTTTCCCCCCCACGCGCAGCCCCCCCCCCTCCCCACGCAGTGGCACCGCCCGCCCGCTCCCTCCGCTGCGCAGGAGCGGGGCTGTGGGGGGGACCACGGGGGGCACACGGGGGGGGACGCGAGGGGGGCAGGAGCACGGCGGGGACACACAACCCCCTCAATCCCCCGGAGAAATGGGGTAACAGGACCCCCAAACCCAGATCGTTGCCCCCCCGGGAAACTGAGGCATCACAGGGGGATCACAGGAGGAATACAGAGGACACGAGGGGACGCAGGGAGACATGAGGGGGACACAGACACAGGGGGTACACGCGACCCCTCGCCCCCAAAAAAATGGGGTAACAGGGCCCCCAAACCCCAGTCATGTCACCCGGGAAACTAAGGCATGATGGGGGGGACAAGAGTGGGACACAGGGGGAACACAGAGGAGGACACAGGGTGACACGAGGGGGGACATGGGAGGGACACAAGGGGGACACGGACAAAGACAGGGACACACGACCACCACCCCCAAAAAATGGGGTAACAGGACCTCCAAACCCAGGTCATGTGTGTGATTGCCCCCTGGGAAACTGAGGCGTTAAGGAGGGGACACGAGGGGGGAATACGGGGGGTACAGACACAGCGGGGACATGCAATCCCCCGCACCCCAAAAAATGGGGTAACAGGACCTTCAAACCCTGGTCATGTGTGTGATTGTCCCCTGGGAAACTGAAGCATCAAGGAGGGGACACAGCGATGGACATGGGGGGGACACAGGGAGAACACGAGGGGGACGCAAGAGGGACATGGACATGTGACCCCCACCCCCCAAAAAATGGGGTAACAGGACCTTCAAACCCTGGTCATGTGTGTGACACGAGGGGGGACATGGGGGGGACACAGGGGGAACACGAGGGGGACGCAAGAGGGACATGGACATGTGACCCCCACCCCCCAAAAAATGGGGTAACAGGACCCCCAAACCCTGGTCATGGGTGTGATATTCCTCCAGGAAACTGAGGCATCATGAGGGGGAACATGAGGGGGACAAAAGGAGGGGACAGGAGGAGGGACACAGGGGGGGAAAGAGGGGGAGCACGGGGGGACATGAGAGGGGAGACGGGGGGGGACACGGGGGAGATGTGGGGGGGGACACGGGAGGGACACATATTTTCCTGCCATTAACCCCCTGGCACCCTTGTTAATTTGGGTACATTGATTTGGTGGGGTTCATCTGGGGTCATTGATAATTTGGGGACATCAATAATTTAAGGACATCATTAATTTCAGGCCCTCATCAGTTTGGGGACATCACTAATTTGGGTCCCTCGTCGATTTGGGGACATTAGAGCTTTGCAACATTTAAATTCCCCCTCCAAAGAATCTTCATCCATCTGCCCCCTTCTCCCTAAAATCCAGACCCCAGTGAAGAAAAGGGGGAGTGGGGATGTTTTCCCACGGGAAAAGTGGTGAGAATGGGCTGGTGAAAGGGTTAAGCCAGGGCTGGATCCTTGAAACAGTCCCAGTGGGATCAGCGCCGGCTTTTCCAACCCTTGTCTGGAGCGGGCAGGTCTCGCTAGGATGCACAGGAATATTTAGTAGGGGGGGGAGAGGGAAAAAGGGGAATGGGAAAGTGAATTCCCCAAAAACTACCCATCCAGGTGATGCTCCAGGAATGCTCGGAGTTTTCCAAGCCTATTCCTGGCGAAATTGCTGGCAAAACTGCTACAAATTGAAAGTTCCCAAAGGTTTCCCAGGAGCATCCCGGTGCAAACTGTTTTCCAAAGGGATTTGCGGCAGAAGGAGCAATCCCAGAGCCTGTGTAAAGCACAGTGGGACGGATAAACCAGATCCCAAATCCAGGTGGAAAACACAAGCACAGACCCAACATCCCCGTCCCTGAGACGTTCCCTGGAGCTCATCTCTTCCCAAAAAGGCCACACGTGAGCTGAGAGCTCTCTTGCAAAGCCGGAGCCCTCCGGGATCCGACCTTTGCTCCGAGCAACACGGCTCCCACGGGAATAAATAGGATAAACTGGTGCTGGGAACTGGTTTTCCCCAAATTTCCAGCCTGGCATGATGGCTGCAAAACTCCTTTTCCCGGCCCAGCTCGGCTCTGCCGTGCAACAAGTCCCTGCCAAACCCACGGCCGGGATTTCATTCCGGCAGGCGCCTCTTTCCTCCCACCCTCCTCCTCCAGCCCGACCATCCATGGGATTTCCTCCTGAGTAATTTTAGCTGTTCCCGTCGCAGCCCAGAGCTGAAATATTCCCAACAAAGACATGGAGACGAAGGCACCGCTCCAGATTATCCGGGAACATCCTGGGTGATGTCCTGCAGGTGACACTGGGATGCGCCGGACAGAAACAAGCCAAACCCCAGCTGATCCTTCATCCCACCCATCACCCCCATGCTTTTTTTGGAGATGCCAGACACGTTTTGGGGCGATTTCAGGCTGGAGGAAAAAAAGAATCCCACCTCAAGCCTCCAGGGAAACCCCTCAAGATAGACGAATTTAGTAACTTTTATTAGTAATGCTTTAAATGAGATTATCCCTAATCTCCAGTGTTCGGCCCAGAGACAGCCTGCCAACCCCAGGCTGAGTCGTTCATTTCCCAACGCTGGGAATGCACCAGGGATGAGCAGCATCCCATCCCATCACCCTCCAAAAAGGGGTTTTGGGCGTCTGGTGTGACCATTCCTGCCAGGAATAGAGTTTTCTTTGGGGTTTATTTCAGGTTTGTCCCCTCAGAGCTCAGGGAGATGGGTCGGAGCACCCTCCCCTCTGGCAGCCCCGGCCTTTGCGAGGCGGTTTGGGCGGACACCGGCAGCTCTTGAGGCTTTGCCGGGCATTCCATGGAATTAATGAGAGGGTTCTCAATATGTTAATTAGTTATGCAAATGGGAAAGGCAGCCAGAGCCGCCTGGGAGGGCAGGAGAGGGTCCAGTAGTGTCACAGGATGGGGAGCAAAGCAAAACCTTGACCTCTGATATCTTCCCTCCTCCTCCTCTCCCAAACCCTCTGGATGGGGATGCACGGAAATGGACCCCAAGGGAGGTTGCAGGAGCTCGGCTGCAGCGATGGAGGTGCAAGGGGAGATGCCAGTTTTCCCGGGCCCAGCTGAGCCGGAGGAACTGGTGGAACTGGTGCTGGGAAGGGGCTGGCAGCCTGGCCAGCTCCGTCTGCCAAACCACCCCAGGAAAGGCGCCGGGACGTGGGAATCGTGACACACCCCTCGCTCGGCTGCCGGCACCGCCAGGACCAGCCTGGAGCAGGCAGGGACCCACCGGCACTTTGATTCCCGGGGGGATCCCGCCACTGCCAGCCCCGGCTCCAGCAACATCCTTATAAATCACCTTCTTTAGCACACACTCCATGGAAAAGTGTCCTGGACAAATCCTCACCACCGGCCGCGTTCACTGGCGCTTTGCCAAGGGCAAAGTCTTTCCCCGGCCCTGCCATGTGCCAAATGCCAGCCGAGCCACCTGTCTCCATGTCCCCACCGCCCCATCCCACCATCCCAAGGGAAAAACCTGTCGGACACAACTCAGAGGCGCAAGGCTCAACCCCCGCAACACCCCTGAAAAGCCAGGCAGCAGCAAATTTTGGGGTGGCAAAGCGCCAAAAATCAACCCTCGAGCAGATGTTCCTCCCTCCCACCTCTCCAGCTGCAGACCCCACAGCTGGAGCAGCCCCCCCTTCTCCATGTCTCCTGCGTGGGCATGACGGGCACGGAATTGAGAGATCCCAGTTCCAACCACCCTGGCCGGTAAAACCGGCGTTGGAAGGCGTTGGAATTTTTGGTGGAGAAAACGCCAAGACTTGTTAGCTCGGTGATGCTCCCCTCGGGCATGGCTCTGCTCTCCCCTCCCTGCCACCCCCTGCTTTTTGGAGGACCCCCCGACGCCTCCTGGGTGGGTTTCACGCAACATTTTGCTCTTTTATATCAAGAAATTCCAAGAAATTCAGTGTAAAGGTGGGTTTTGTCCCGCACATCCCACGGCGGTGTTTTGGGAACGCCCCAGGGATGAGCTGAGATTTTTTTTGGAGGGGGGGTGGAGGTTGAAACATCAAAGCGGCTTTTAAGGCAGCAGAAAGTCCCATTTCTCAGGGAAATACCCTTAAAAAAATAAACCCATCAACCAACCAAGAAGGGGCTTTCCCTGCCCACCCCGACAAGCCCCCCCCAAGTCACTGTGACGTCGCAAAGAGG